TCCATTCAAATTATTCTGACAATTCGTATCAGCATACTCCTTATGTTTCATCATAATTTTTTTTTTTTTGGATTGTATTTCCTATATTCAGAAAATCTCCATGCAATTGTTATCAGAGTTGACAAGACATTTGGATACCGTTTTCAACCAGGTTGCACAGACTGAGTATTTAACACTAGACAACGGACAACACACCACACCCAGTAGACCAGTAGGGAAATTTTCAGGTTGCCAAAATTTGCACCGAATCGGAGGAATCGAACCCTTACTTCGTGGCACTCACAATACACCTGAACGACGGGTGACGCCGCACGACCACGAAGCCCACAAAGATGGATTGAACTCCACTCAGAATTAGCTTGAAGTTCTCCTTTGATTTCACAAGGAATTCGCCTCACACACTGTGAAATATTTTCAGAATTACCTTAAACTTCCAATAACGTCCATCGTTGATGGCCTTTAATAATTAAAGCAACCGGTGAACACTCGTGTTTATTTCAGTTACCATGGAGACGTAATTTGTGATTAGCCCCGGCCCCTTTCAAATTGTATCATTATTTATGAACGGTTCTTATATTTGAAATGACGTTTCACATTCATCTAGTGATGTCCGATTTTCATTCGAATAATCGTTTAATCGATTAACGAACCGAAAAGTAAACTATTTATAATCGGTTACATCATGCCGATATAAGCATTAACATCACCACAGGATCATCACCGATCGTTTCAAACATGTGCTGCACTTTCATTGGTATAAAAATGGTAGCACAGCGAACAAAAAATAATCGATTAGTTGTTAATCGAGTAATTAAAAAATGGGGCATCTCTGATTTTGGTGTGATTGTTTTGATAAAAATGAGCGCAAAATTTCATCTCTTCCGAGGGGGCAGCACAACCACAAAATTACCTTGAATACGGGGGGTTCTCATTGGATGAAAGGGACCGTGAAAGAAGACACTAAAATAGAAAGTTTTTCTTCCGACAGTTTCATCTTAGTATTCATCTTTGATTAAAGTAGCAAGTTAGATTTTTTTATTAGAGGGTAAATCATTTGCAGTGATATTTTTAAAGCATCATGTTAAAAAATCTGGGAAAATCTGGAACATATTTAAAAAATCTGGCAACATGCGTGGTCTGTCTGTGTATCTGGCAAGACGACTAAAAATCTGGAAAACCCAGATAAATCTGGAATACTGGCAACGCTGGAAGTGGGGCAAGAAATCTGAAGCGTGTATCTTCGTTGGCTACAGTGAAACTTCGAAGGCGTATAGGATATACAGCAAGAAGATCAAGCAGATTTCCGTCAGCCGAGACATCATTTTTGTGGATGAATGTGAAATGAAGCGTTGTGCGACAGCAGGTGATCCATCAGGAGACAATGCAGAAGGAAGTGAACTCGTTATTCAGAATGAACAAATAGAAGTTGATAATCAGGCTAGACCAACTGAGGCTGAAGAAGAATCTGAAAATCTCCTGGATGAAACGGTCTACACCTAGCGCAATCTACAAGGCCAGATGTTAGTTTTGCAGTCAGCGTGGTCAGTCAGTTTTGTCAGAACCCAGGTAAGGCGCATTGGATAGCAACCAAAAGAATCTTACGATACTTGAAGAAGACGAAATCTATGAAGCTAACCTACTCGAAGCAGTCAAATGAAGGCTTTGCCGGCTATAGTGATGCGGATTGGGGAAACAACTCCGATACTTGTCTATCTACAGCATCTACAGTTGCAGTTGCTATGTTTACTAAGGAGGTGGAGTATATGGCTATTTTCGTGGCAACCCAAGAAGCTTTATGGTGGCGTGGACTCTGGGAGAAGTTGCATGGACAATCTGAAGCTAATCGTATCCATTGTGACAACCTAAGTGTTGTACATCTGGCGAAAAAGAAAGTCGGCATCAGTTTTGTACGAGAAAAGTTAGAGCAGAACATCATCATACTAGACCACTTCAGAACAGAGAAGCAAATAGCTGATGTTCTTACTAAGGCGATACCTGCTGTGAAGCTAGAAGAAGCAATAAAAACCCTCGGAGTTCAATAATTCACTATTAAAGCCTAGTATACAGATCGAAGCGAAACGAAATTTGAAGCATGCTAAAAATCATGAAATTTCACTAGCGAAAAAGGTAGTGAAAAAATGTTTGTGGAACATTTTCCAGTTTCCTTTTTTCGCAGTTTACAGTTCATGTGAAACGGAATCGATCAGTTTACACCTCCGGTGAAGTAAAAATCTGACCGATACGCTCTTTCTTGAAACGTCAACTTTTCGCTTAGCTGTTGCTCTTTTCGCGAGCGCTGCTTGCGCGAAAAAAAAAATAAACGTAAAGGCCTGTATAGAGATCGAAGCGAAGCGAAAATCTCATACAAAATACTAAATTTTTCACCAGCGTGAAAAACGCAATTGGCAAATTTTTCACTTCGAAACATTAGGAATAATTGAATGTAACCACCGTCCAAGATTTCCAGTGTCCCAATCGGTTTGCCAACTCGGAAAGGTACTCTGACGCACTAAATGGTAAAATTCATCGTGTGAAATTTGCCTGGCATACAATTCGCCTTCCTGCGCGCCCACCTTTGCGAGAGAGTCCGCCTTCTCATTGCCTGGGATTGAGCAATGTGAGGGGACCCATACAAAGGTAATCATATATCTCGAGTAACATTTGAAAAGGGCCTATGATCAAAATGTAAACAAACCGATTTTTGATACCATTCTGTAGCACTGGTAATTAGCTACCAGTCGTATAGGAATGTTCCGCATTATCGATAAAAATCATTAAAAATAACTTGATTTTAAAAACGGCCGAACCACGAAATTTTTCCAATCATTCATGCTAAAACGGCCTAACCTCGGGCCTAACATATATTTTTTTTCGTTCGATGAGGTTCCATTCATAAGCCTAGTGACGTAGAAGGGCCGATGATTGAAAAATTTCAAATCAAAGCTAGGCCCTACTGCTTGAGGCAGGGCCGATGATTTATTTGACGTTAAGAAAAGGCTTAGCAAAGGGCCTACAATTTATGATGACAAGCACAACGGCTTAACAAAAAGGGCCTAACCATTTAAAGATTCACAAAAAGGCTTATTACTGTGATATTAAATGTTTATCGATTTTCATGTATTTTTGAAAACGTTTCGCATGTTTTGGATGTTGTGTACTGAGATATAGTTACTATTGTTATTGTGAACAATATAAATGCCTAAAATACTTCAATTTATTTATATAGGAATTAAATACTGGCGGAAAAATTTACAATTCATTTTCTGGATTGTTTACATTTTGGACATAGGCCCTTTTCAAATGTTACGCGAGATATGATCTTTCGACCAGCACACACATCTGCTCCCTTACCTTTGAAAGGAGTAAATGTAGTATTTTGTATGAGATTTTCGCTTCGCTTCGATCTCTATACAGGCCTTTACAGTTCAAAGCGAAGTGAAATATTTGCCAATTGCGTTTTTCACGCAGGTAAAAATTGTAGTATTTTGCTTCGCTGCGATCTCCATACAGGCCTTTAAGGGGGAATGTTAGAGTACCTAAGCACTGAATTATTGTAGATAGGTAGTAGTAACATAGAGGTAACTCTAGGACTAGAAGGTCCCGAAGAAACGTGCTCAACTTTTTGTACTCAGCTTTGGTACTCTCTTCGGTCCCAAGCTAATCGATTCACCCCTCGAAACATAGGAAAATCCACTAACCCCTCATTTTATCTGTCAAACTTTCATAGCGAATCAAAACAAACATACTGTAGTACTAGAATTTCGACTAGAATGGGATACGCTTATATATGTACTTGGGACCAATAGGCTAGTCAAGTAGTGAGCCAATTTAGGCTCTGAATCATTTGGTGGATTATTTTAACTTTTGGTTAAAATTTGACAGATGAAAAGTTATCGATTAACCCTGCTATCCGAGCGTGGTTACTTCTGACAGACAAGAAGTTAAATTTTGACAACTGTGGCTCGAAAACCGGTCGATCAACAGCACGGGGATTTTCGAACATAGAAAATAACTTTCGAAATGTCACTTTTAACCACGAGTTAAATTTAACTCGGCAAATGGTTCACAGCCTTAAAATCGTTAGTTTCAACCGGTTGGTAGTAAGCCATGATAAAAATAAAATAGCCTTTGTCATTCGTTGCCCAAACCTCTTCCTAGTCAGACCTAATTTTATCAAATAGGTTAAAATTGAAACATAGTTGAACAAACCGGTGGAAACTAACGATTTTAAATTGGCTCACTACTTGACTAGCCTATTGGTCCCAAGCCTATCGATTAACGAACCCCATTCTAGTACCACTATGGTTGAATTCAGACCAATTCAGGCAAGACCCAAAATTAAATTCGAGGAAATCCGCGACGTCACAAAACTCAATTTTGGCAAATATCTGTACAAAAAATATATGTTTTATTTTAGGCAATGCAATTTTTTGCTAAAACTATTTTTGCATGTAGATGGATATCAATGTCTGTTACTGCGCCAAATGACAAATCGATCTTATTTGTTTTCCTTGAATTTTGCACAATTGGCAGTCATTCCGATTTTTGCATTTAGAAACTTGAAAAAAGAAAATCAAAATGGCGAATTCGATATTTTTTAACAATTTATAAATCGAAAACGTCACTTCAAAAGACGCCTTAGACAAAGATGAAGGAAACATTTCCTTTTTGAACAAATACACACGATAAAAAATGCAAATCATTTTGGGTAAAAAATAAAAACTAAAAAATAAAACTTTAATATTTTTATTGCTAGGCTCATGTAACTGCCTTTATAAACTTTGACAAACACAAAGTTTAAAAATCTTGTTTAGATTGTCATCCCAAAATCACTTGAATTTTTTAACGGCTTATATGTTTTGGATGAAATTTTGTCACAAATAGTACATAATAAGCGTCGCAGTTACAAGCTGTTCACGTATCCAATACTTTGTCAAACCCATACCGTGTTTCACCAAATGCCCCGGACATTGGCGCCAACACGCGTATCATTAATCCAGATCCCGATTTTCCTCTTCCAGCTGCCCCGGCGCCGCATATTTCCCACAAGTACGAACCGGTTCCGTTTAATGCGCAAACAATCAGCCCCCAGCAGTACAGCGAACCATTCAACAAGTTGCTGAGCGACATCAACGACCCGACGATAGCGGACGACCAGAAGCAACGGCTGAAGATCGCCTTCGCCGAGGGCTATCTGACCGCCACCCATCCGGACCATGCCAACCGGTCCGGCAAGGCGATGCGCTATCTCAAGGTCCTACAGCAGCTGCTGATCATCGTCGTGTTTATCGGAATCTTCATCAGCCTGTTCGTTTCGACCAATGGGTCCGTTTTTAGGTCTGCAATCAAGTTTGCTTTTTTACTTTCGCATATAAATACCATCACATAAGTTTTGATCCTTTCAAAAAAATTCGGAACAGCATTCTAAACTGATCTTTGTTTCCTTTTTTGTTGCTTTTTCTTTCGCTTTTGATTGCCCATCATGATTCAATATTTTCAGTAGAATACAAATGGGCAACCAGGTGGAGGTGGACCCGGAGGACATTTCGGTAACGTTCGATGACGTTAAGGGTTGCGACGAGGCCAAGCAGGAGCTGAAGGAGGTGGTTGAGTTTCTCAAAAATCCGGACAAGTTCAGCAACCTGGGCGGAAAGTTGCCGAAAGGTGTCCTGTTGGTGGGTCCACCCGGTACCGGAAAGACACTGTTGGCACGTGCCGTGGCCGGTGAAGCTGGAGTTCCATTCTTCCATGCTGCCGGACCGGAGTTCGACGAGGTGCTCGTCGGCCAGGGTGCTCGCCGCGTCAGGGACTTGTTCAGTAAGTGTCCCGTTTGGGGCGGTGTGAGGGTTGAAATCGGTAATAGCTTTTCTATCTGTTTTTTTCCGAACGTACAGAGGCAGCCAAGGAACGGGCTCCGTGCGTCATCTTCATCGACGAAATTGACTCGGTTGGTGCCAAGCGTACCAACTCAGTGTTGCATCCGTATGCCAATCAGACCATCAATCAGCTGTTGTCGGAGATGGATGGTTTCCAGCAGAACGAAGGAGTCATCGTGCTGGGAGCCACCAACCGGAGGGATGATTTGGATCAGGCTCTTCTGAGACCGGGTCGTTTTGACGTGGAGGTGGTTGTTCCGACACCGGATTTCACCGGCCGGAAGGAGATCCTCACCCACTATCTAAGCAAGATTTTGAGCAAGGAGATCAACATCGATCAGCTGGCGAGGGGAACGACCGGTTTTACCGGGGCCGATATCGAGAACATGGTCAATCAAGCTGCTTTGAGGTATGGGTGATTTTGGAAAAAAGAAAATCGGGATTTCAATATAATATCGGTTCCTTTCTTAGGGCGGCAATCGACGGGGCGGAAACGGTGACGATGAAGCATCTGGAAAATGCCAGAGATAAGGTACTTATGGGTCCGGAGCGTAAGTCTCGTCTGCCGGATGAGGAAGCCAACCAAATTACGGCGTACCACGAGGGAGGGCATGCTATTGTTGCCTACTATACTAAGGTAAGCTTGAAGTGGGGCGGTGAATTTCCGCCAATATTTGGCTCGGAAATGGTTGAAGAGAATAGTTGAGTTTGCCGTAAATGAAATTTACGTATTCCTAGATACTAGGAAGGTGAACTTTTATGATTGCAGGGACGTGGCGTGGTAGGGACGAAAAGGGCGATCCGCCCCGGGTTTCACCCGCGAGAAAAACTTAAAGCTCTAGAAATCTCTGTTTGTGGCAGCGACATATTAAAAGTCTCAGAATCGTTCAGATTTTAATAAACGGGGAGCTAAAAAACGTCCAAGTAGAAGAACTAAATTTCTGTATCATCAGCTACTTTTTGTGCGTTGAATCTTGAAGAATATTCTCAAGAATTTATTTAATTCTTTACTTCCTAGAAGGTTCGCGCAAAGTGCGAGAACAAAAGATGTTCCCTGTATCCTGAAATGATCAAATCAATCAACAAAAATTTTTGCTTAAAATCAATAGTATACAAAAAAATTAATAGTCACTTCATTGAATCCTCAAGAATACATATCGACGAGAATAATGAACACACGGAAAAACTTAAATAAGTACTGATTATTTAATGGTAGATTGACAAACATGAGACGGACCGACAATAGGGTTAATATCATTCAAAACTTTACTCATTATCTAATTTTTTTAATTTGCTCAAGTTGACTGGAATTCGGAGAGGGAAAAATAAAATCGAAACGTCAGTTGGTGTCGAACTGCTCCGCTTTACTTTAACTAACTCCGGAGGTACTCATGTTGAGCACCAAAAGAAACCGGACATCACTGTTGTTACTAAGAAGTGCATATTCAAATAACACCGATAATAGATTGTTTCACTGATTTCCTACCGTTGTTAAATTTTCTCGTTTTCATTGACCTCTTGCTTGTTCCAGGAATCCCATCCTCTGCATAAAGTGACAATCATGCCGCGTGGTCCTTCGCTTGGCCATACCGCTTACATCCCGGAGAAGGAACGCTACCACGTCACCAAGCAGCAACTGCTGGCCATGATGGACACGATGATGGGCGGCCGGGCGGCTGAAGAACTGATTTTCGGAGCCGACAAAATAACTTCTGGTACGTTGCCTTAACCAATTAGTCTTGAAATCAAATTCCAATACCATTCCCATTGCATTTCCCTTCAGGTGCCAGCAGCGATCTGAAGCAAGCGACATCGATCGCATCGCACATGGTCCGCGACTGGGGCATGTCCGAGAAGGTCGGTCTGCGTACGATTGAAACGTCCAAGGGTTTCGGTGCTCCGCAGGAGGTCCTCTCGCCATCGACGGTCGAGGGAGTCGATAATGAAATCAAGAAAATTTTGAGCGACAGCTATGAGCGTGCTAAGACCATCCTGAAGCAGCACGCCAAGGAGCACAAGGCCCTCGCGGAAGCGCTGCTCAAGTACGAAACGCTGGACGCCGAAGATATCAAGGCTATCCTCGGTGGCGAGAAGCTTCCGGTGGAGGAACACTGAGACAAAAAGGAATTTGACTTTGATTAAATAATCTGTGCAAAAACGATTTGTGAAACAATTGAAAAAAAGGAACATAATGCACCCAAATGCGGATTAAATCTCCTGCTGTATGATTTTAGGAATATATTATAATAATTTATAATTAATCGCAGCTTCCTACCTTGTCGTTTTAACAGAATGAACCGAACCTTTTTCGAAATAGGCTTAGCAAGATAGTTGTACCATAAGATTGTTATAACGTGCGTAACACACACACACTAATAAAACTATAAATCTATGCAAAATAAAGTAAACGACTGCAAATGGGAAGCTTTGCAATGTCCTGATGTATCTGATTTTAGGATGTTTGGAATTTATAATTTTCAGAGCACCTCCTGAGCTGAGCTGATCGGAAAGGAAACTATTCCACAAAAAAATGAATAAAGATTAAAATGTTAGTTGATCAACTCAATCGTGTACCTATTTGGTTGCCTTCTTCAGAATTCCTTGATTTTGGACGTACTCTCGATGGTCGATCTTCGATTTGCAAGTCTCGTCAATTAATTTTCCTACTTTAGATCCACTCAAAAAGGCTAGGAATAATGACCAACAAGATCAATAGCGTCAACGAACCCAGGACATTGGCATAACCTTGAAGATTGCTTAACTGCAATCAGGTCCCAGGGCTTCTTTCTTCTTCTTCTTCTTCTTCGCATTTCAAGCTTATTGTATATCGCATATTAGCTTATTGCGTGCTCTCAACTTAGTGTTCTAGATGCACTTCCACAGTTATTAATTGAGAGCTTTCGATGCCTGTACAATTTTTGCATTGATATGATGATTGTGTGGCAAAGTCCAATCATACTTCTATGCCCAGGGAAGTCGAGAAATTTTCCAACCCGAAAAATTCCTAGACCGAACCGGGAATGGAACCCAGCCACCTCCAGCATGGTCTTGCTTTGTAGCTGCGCCTTTATCGACTGAGCCAAGGGAGGCCCCAGGTCCCAGGGCTTGTCTGTATCTTTACATTTTGAAAGATGCATACTAGTGATGCCAGTTGTGATGTAGCGGACCAAAAGTTTGTAGGAATTCAACTACTAGCCAAAATAAAAAAATTGTATAGCTTAGAATTATGATTTTAACTTTGAATTTGGCTTAATCGAGTGGTGATTTTACTTTCTTTTTTGACATAGGATTACGTCTTTCGGCAGCTTATTGGGGGTGCAATTTCAAAAAAACAAAATCGACCGCGTTACGAAAAGTGGTCAGGATTTGACCACTTATAACTCGGTCAATAGCGGATGGATATTAATTCTAAACAAGCCAATCGATTGGAATGACATCTACAAATTTGCTCAAATGAACACTTTACAGTATTTCCTGGACACTTCTCGCGTTACCTTTCAGATAGACCAATCTACATTGATCGATTCTCTTCATAGACTCTCTCTCTTTCGTTAATAACTTGTTTAGCTGTTATTATCGTCTAATATGCTAATAGACCATGTAGAAAAATTAGCCAAACAAAAAATGGTTAGTATAAATTTAACATACCATGTATTCTTAAGGAAACATTGGGGGGTGCAATTTCAAAAATCAAAGTCGCTCGTGGCTTGAAAATGCTCTGATTTTTATCCAGAGATGATGGTTTTCAATTCTTAATACGCCAATCAATAGAAAATTTTGCTACGAATCTGTCAAAATTAAGGCTATCAATTTTCAAAAGGTCACTTTTGAAAATTGCACTGTTTTGATGTAATAAAATTCTTCCCGAATGTTCTTAATAAGAGGGGCAAGAATTCAAAGCATTGTTCTAAGCTGGATTCCAAGCTTTCAACCCATCGGTCCTTTTCAGGACCACAAATGACTGATAAAAGAGATAACTAAAGACTTCAAGTAAGAGCTTGTATCCGAGACACATCGTCCAGGATTGGCTACATGGACACCGACAGAGCATCTTATAAACAGAACTCCCAAACTGCTTCCGAATTTCAACCTATCGATCTTTTTCACTGATAATCAGTTAAGAAATCAATTTAATATTTACTATACTTTTGCTGTGACATCAAAACTACCTTTCGTAATCCTACGTCAAATCTACGGTCGTGTCTTGGATACAACATCTTGCTTTTTTCTCTCTTAAGGTCAAGACGATGAAGTTTTGAAGAAGACAACGATGTCAACTATTTGCACGCTGAATCAACATATAGCCATGATAAAGGGATAGAACCAGTGCTGATATTTGCCATTGTCATTGACAGACTTTCGCGTGATATTGACAAAATTGTTTTTCACGTAGTCAATGATAGACTTGATGATAACAAAAAGTGTAACATTGTGTATTCTGCGCCAAATTATTGATCTCCAAGCAGTTCAGGATGAAGATGGTTGTTCCCTTAATTGGCTCCATGTAAATGTTTTGCTCAAGCCATTTAGTTTCTTTACAAATTTAGCTAATGAAATAATCTGACTGACAATTGACATGGTTTGCCTTGCTAACTCAAATGAGTGACCAAAGCAGAATTTTGAATATAACCGTGTATTGTCGAGATTTTGCAGCACTGGATAGAACTTCATTTTATTTTCATAAAAACAGAACCATCACAACAGATTATCAGACAAGGCCTAGAGTATACGATTTCGAAGAAGAAAAAAGTCGGAATCAGGATGTAGACAGAAGCTGTCGTTCGGTGGATTATTTGATGATTAGATTACTAACAACAGAAGCGAGTTTAAAACAGCCACGACTTGATTGTTCACTGAAATGGTGGAATCAGAATACGAAGACGCGGAAGATACTCTCAGCGATTCAAGTAGCGATACTCAACTGAACATCCTGGATTTCAGAGGTTTCTCTGACGACGAGGATGATGCTTTCCCAGGATTCGACTATACCATCACGCTATTGCCAAACTCTATGATGGTAAAATGAACTAACAACGTAACAACTTCCCTGATGCCCCGTAACGTGTTTAGATCACCTTTTCGTGGTACGTTACGGGATGTAAGATCTACCACCGATTCCTAGTCCTGACTTCTTCAAACTAAGGGAACAGGTTTTTTTCAGTAATCAAAGGAACACATCTTAGTCCTTGTTACTTTTTATGCCTTGTTGATAGTGATAAGTCCTCGGGTTGCCGGGCTACAAAATGGTGAGTGACAATCTGGAACCTAGCTCCGGTCCTCACAAGTTCCTACCTCACGCCTCCACGAGTCATATAATCACAAAAGACTGCCAGCTGAAACATGGACACAGCTGGTTGGCGTAGCCTGGGCAATGTTGTCAATCCGACAATAGCAGAGTGAGGAGGTGCGACGCGAACACTGCCGCGGTAACCATAGCACGGTGATAGAGGAAATGCTTCGCCAACCCGAGCGTCTGTTCACCATGGAGGTGCGGCTCAAACAGCGTCTGACTGGCATCCAGCGGCTGAATAAGAAATGCTCTTCCCCGGAAGCTACACCTAAGATGGCAGCCCCATCACGGCGTATAGGAGACCTTAGGCCAACCACCTACTGTCTCTGAAACCTTTACAATTGTTACAGAAACCAGTTACAGAGAAAGACATCGAACTGATTTAACGGCAATGACTTTAAGCGCAAAACAACGGACACGAATTGGATCATGGAATGTATTGACGTTAGCCCAGCAGGGTAAACTGGCACAACTCGCCAACGAGGCGCGACGCATGAAGCTAGAAATCCTGGGACCGAGTGAAGTTCGTTGGCCAAACTTTGGAGAACACAAACTGCCGTCGGGACAGGTACTACTATACTCTGGTATTCGAGGTGAATACGCTCCCCGCCATCGTGGAGTTGGTCTCCTACTTAGCGTCCAGGCAAGAGCTGCGCTCATCAAGTGGGAGCCTATTAATGAGAGGATAATCGTTGCCAGATTTAGAACACGGGTTCGTAACCTTACCATAATCCAATGTTATGCGCCAACCGATGCTGCCGAGCTACAGGACAAGGAGAATTTTTACAGTCAACTGAATGCCGTCGTGGATAAGGTTCCAAAGGGTGACGTCAAGATCTACACTGGCGACTTCAATGCAAAGATCGGCTCCGACAACACGGACTATGAGCGTGTCATGGGACGCCATGGTTTTCGGCGAAATGAGCGAGAACGGTGAGCTGTTTGCAGAACTTTGTGGCAATAACGACATGGTGATCGGGGGCTCGCTCTTCCCCCATCGGCCAGTGCACAAAGTCACGTGGGTTTCCCGTGATGGACATACCGAGAATCAGATCGACCACATCTGCATCAGCCGAAAATGGAGTTGGAGCCTTCTTGATGTCCGGAATAAACGCAGCGCCGACATCGCGTCTGACCATCACCTTCTAATCGGTGAAATCCGCCTACGCATGGCGCGGATTCAGCGACGGGAGGAGAGACTCGGGCGGTGGTTCAACACACGCCGACTTGAAGATCCAGCGGTAAAAAGGTCTTTTTTTCATGAACTTGAGACTCGAGCTGCGGACGTTCCAGAAGGTGGCAGCGTAGAAGAACAATGGACGGCCATCAAGAATGCCTTTATAGAAACAAGCGAGAACAACTTGGGTGAGCTGCGCACCCAGAGGAAAGAGTGGATCACAGATGAAACCTAGCGGAAGATTGAGGAGCGTAGAGAAGCAAAAGCCGCGATAGAGCGGGCGAGAACCAGAGGAGCCAAGAACGAAGCCCGTCAACGGTACTCGGCTCTAGAGAAGGAAGTCAAGCGCTCTTGCAGACGGGACAAGCGAGCGTGGGTGAACTCCCTGGCCGACGAAGGGGAGAAAGCCGCAAACACTGGCGATATACGCCTCCTCTACGATATCTCACGACGTCTGAGTGGAGCAAGGATGAACCCGAGGATGCCAGTGAAGGACACGACTGGACAATTGCTTACCGACCCCACTGACCAGCTGAAACGCTGGTTTGAGCACTTCGAACAACTTCTTCAAGTTTCGACGGCCAACCAGCCATTAACATCTCGGCATGATCCGCCTAGGGTGCGGCACATCACTCGCGTCAATTCCGAGGCCCCATCACTGCAGGAGATTGAAGCAGCTATCCGAAGCATGAAATCCAACAAGGTTCCAGGGATCGATCGCATATCAGCAGAGATGCTCAAAGCTGACCCCATGCTATCCGCACAAATGTTGCATCAACTATTCTGTAATATCTGGAACACCGCGACTTTTCCGGCCGACTGGATGCAGGGCATCTTAGTGAAGGTCCCAAAGAAGGGGGATCTGACTGTGTGCGACAATTGGCGAGGCATCATGTTACTGTGTATTGTTCTCAAAGTTCTGTGCAAAGTTATCCTGAATCGGATACAGGAGAAGATCGACGCGACTCTCCGACGGCAGCAGGCAGGATTCCGTGCCGGAAGATCTTGTGTGGACCATATTGTCACGCTCCGCATCATTCTGGAGCAGGTCAATGAATTCCAAGGGTTCTCTTTTTTTGTTATTCATTGACTACGAAAAAGCTTTCGACCGTCTCAATCACGAGAATCTGTGGGGCGCCCTGAGACGCAAGGGAGTCCCGGATAAAATCGTCAACCTCATCGAAGCGCAGTATGAGGCTTTCACGTGCAGAGTTCTGCATAACGGAGCCTTGTCCGACCCTATCCAGGTAGTCGCTGGTGTGAGACAAGGATGTATACTATCACCGCTACTGTTTCTCATCGTAATCGACGAGGTGCAATTGACCGTGTACCGAACCGTGGGCTGCTTTGGCAGCCTATCACCATGGAGCATCTCAACGACTTCGATTTGGCTGATGATGTTGCTCTACTAGCACAACGGCGCTCTGATATGCAGAGTAAGCTCAATGACCTAGCCGAACGCTCCTCTGCGGCAGGTCTCACCATCAACGTCAACAAGACCAAATCGTTGGATATCAACACGGGCAACCCTTCCAACTTTACGGTAGCGGGGCAAGCAGTGGAGAAGGTCGAAAGTTTCCAATATCTTGGCAGCCAAATAGCGTCGGACGGCGGGACCAAGAGCGACATAGGTGCACGAATCAAGAAGGCTAGGGCTGCCTTTGCGAGTTTACGAAACGTATGGAGATCCAACCAGATAAGTCAACGCACCAAAATCCGAATTTTCAACTCGAACGTGAAATCTGTGTTGTTATACGCCAGCGAGACGTGGTGTGTATCAGCGGAGAACACTCAAAAGCTGCAGGTCTTCATCAACCGATGCCTGCGGTATATAATTCGTGCCTGGTGGCCTCACAACTGGATCTCGAATGCCGAGCTCCATCGTCGATGTCATCAGAAGCCGATAGCAACAGAAATTCGAGAGCGAAAGTGGAGGTGGGTCGGCCACACACTTCGACGGGGCGGAAACGAAATCTGCAAGCAAGCGCTGGATTGGAATCCAGCAGGACATCGCAGCAGAGGCAGACTCAGGGGCTCATGGCGGCGGAGCCTCGATAAGGAAATTAAGCAAGTCGATAGAAATCTGACCTGGGCCCAGGTCAAGGCAAAAGCGAGTAGCCGCCCAGGATGGAAGTCTTTCACGTTGGCCCTTTGCACCGCTGGTGGTGCACAGGACCCTTAAGTAAGTAAGTAAGTTGCCTGGACCGAGGATGATCTTGAAACAAGGAAAAAATGAGTTAGTTAGTCTTCACCTATGTGATTCCTAATCTTCTATTCGTTGTTCCCTAGTTTGAAGTGGTTAAGACTAGGGTTCTGAGCATGGTCATTATCGGTGTCATTGCTTATTTTTGTTGCTAAGGAATCTGGTTTTGACTGACAAAGGGGCGCGTCTTTGGAGGGTGTTTCAACACTCCGAAGGGTATAAATAGTGGGTCCTTTCAGTTAGAATCGGTTCCTTGCGATGAAGGCAAAAATGACAACTGTATCTATACCGAATACTTCATCATTTCTCAATAGTGATGGAGTAATACGACATGGACTAAACTAAGGACACGGGATATACTACAATAGATCAACTTACTGGTCGCAGTGGTGTTATGTCCCGAACAGAGGAAAAAAAACAGGGTTGATTATACTGTCATTACTGTTTATACTATCATTGCAACTAATTTATTAAGGCATATTCAATTGACCTGCATTGGGTTATTATTCTGCATGCAATGTTAGAGGGAAAGTGGAGGACTCGCGATTCAGCAGGAGTTGTTTGGGGCATGTTGTTCATTTTAGACATTATAGTTGGACGTGATCACCATGTTCCAGTCACGTTCTGGAATGTGTCCTTGAGACTTGATATTTGCGGCCTTCATAAGACCCTCTTTTGTCTGGCAAAAAAAACTTGGTCATTAGCGTCAACGATTTGAATCCTTACCTTAAATGAGGCTGCAGTATGTGAAGATCACATCCATATATTGATTGAACATCAAATGCATCTGTTTATACATAGAACACCTTGCGAATCACTATACTGGATAGCACGTGAAGGATTAAGTAATGAATGATAGATATTTTATGACCGATTGAAGTCAAGACAATAGGGGAAACGGCTCTAATGTTGGCCTATGGATCTAAGATTGGATCCATCGCTAAAAATCTGCTATTTATCAATTTTATCTAGATGAACGCGGCATTGGGACGATACTAATGGATATTTTGGTCGCTATTGAGAATTTAGTCGATTGCTGAACTTATGTATGGGCCCAAATTAGGGGCATTTAGGCCGACATTACATCTTCTCTGTTGAAGTTGGAATCTTTACTATTAAATTCGTTCGGGGGGCTTTCACTTTTGAGCTGTAGATGGCAAAGAAAGCAAGAAAGTTGCCTGTCTTCTTGATTCGTAATCTTTGGTTAAATGAGTGATGCATATACTATGTAAAGCATTAGTTGTGAAAAGCAATGCATTAGGTATAGGAAAAACGTAACGAAACGGGCCAGGGGGCGTAATTAATCATTTTGTTCGACCATTTTCCACAGAGATGGCGCTGTTCCGCTGGTAGGAAGTGATAAAAATTCCCATGTAGAAATTGAGAGAAGTGGCAATAATTCGCTTTCGGTGCATATTCAGGTGAAAAAAAGTGAACGACAACCTAAAGAAATTAATCAGGGACTCTGTCGTTCAGTTTTTTCCCGGAAATTATTGTTAAACAAGCTACAATTAAATAAAAATGATTTTTCCCCATACAGTTTTATCTGATTTACTTCCAGCTCCCAGAGAGCCAAAAAATTCAAATTTGAGAGAGAAAATTTGCTCTCACGACCTCAATCTCTCAACATGCCATGTATTTTGTTGACACTCGATTTGTGATTTCCCTTTCACAGATTACAAAATAGAGTACCTGACACTACAAAACATGTCTGGTACCTCTATATATGCATTTGCTTCAACATTTGAAGTCCCTCCTTTTTTACATATTCTGCGCAAAAGATACTTTATGCCCCGCCCCATACATAAAATTCGGCGGGAAATTCTGTGAGGGGTGAGTTATTTTGTGTGCAGAATGTGTAAAAACGGAGGGACTTCGAATATTTAATAATCTAAATGCATATATAGAGTTACCAGACATGTTTTGCACTGCAGTGTCCTCTGTGAACAATTAAAGGGAAACAGATTGTGAGTAGTTTCCGATAGATGTCACCGCAAACAACAGCTGTGACATCTGATGGAACATGAATGCAGAAGCTTAACAAAATGATCAATTCTTTCCTCAATTTTGACGTGACATAATTAAAGTATGGCCCCAAAGGCAAGCATTTGTGTGAGCGATTCAATATTTGAACAAAATAACTTTGCAAGCGTGACTTGATTCTCGCTTGTTATATTTAAACAGTTGTTGATGTCGAGCTCTTGGTTCAGTGCTATAAATAGAATGTAATTGTAGAAAATATCAATCAGTCCAGGAAAGATCCAGCAAACTTCTACAGTGTCGACGAGCAAAAATGAGACCCCTGTTGGCACTATTTGTGGCATTTTGCCTGGTGAGCGTCGCGATCACTAAGCCACTTCCCGAAGGAGACGAAGAAGCTGCCAATGTAACAGAAGAACCAAAGAAGGAAGAAGATCAACCCACCGAAAAACCGGCGGATGACGCCGATGCTGGTGCCGAGAAGGAAGAAGGTGACGAAAAGAAGACCGAAGATGAAGATAAGAGTAAAGATGCAGGAGAAGAAAAAACTGAAGACGGCGGGAACGACGCTACCAAGGATAAGGAGGAAGAAGGTGAAGGTGGTGACGAGGAAGATTCTCCCAAATCCAAAGGCGGTAAAGGGAAAGGCAAAAATGATCCTGTCGAAACGTACAATAAGGTCATTGAACTACTGGACAAAACTACCAAGATCGATAAGGTAGACAGCAGCCATCTACGGGCAGGCTTAGTCAATGATTTGCAAACATACCTAAGGAATCCGATCGTTGATGTCATTGGAACGGTTGGTGATTACTCCAAGGTATGTTCTGATTTTAAATTCTCCTATAATGCGGTCCTTGAATGTTTTTTTTCACGCAGATTTCAAGTTGCTTCAAATCAATGGACAATGACGTCAAGAAGATTCTGGAAGAGGTTATGAAGTCTTTCAAATCATGCAAGGACAAGAAGGACAGCAACGAACATCAGTGTTCCTCAGATCGTAGCACAGCTCAGGGCAAAATTGCCAAGATTGCTACTGCGGTATCGTCGTGTGTTTCATCGAAAAGGTCGTGAATGATTGAATAAAAACTGCGACAAAATTGAATAGTTTTTGTTCTATTGTAAAATTAGATATTTTTTTCGGCCCCTCCGCACATTAGACTTTTAACTTTCAATAATTTCACATAACCGTAATTTCTTAGCTCAGTCGGTAAAGTCGCAACTACAAAGGAAGAGCATGCTGGAGGTGGCTGGGTTCGATTCCCGATCCGGTCTAGGAGTTTTTCGGGTTGGGCAATTTCTCGACTTCCCTGGGTGTAGAGTATATGATTGTACTTGCCATACAATTATACTAATGCAAAAATGGTACAGGCATCGAAAGCTCTCAATTAATAACTGTGGACGTGCATCTAGAACACTAAGTTGAGAGCATGAAATGCAAATAAAATAGACAATGATTATCATCCGAATCCCAATAAAAAAAAGGTGCATAGAACGAATTACTCCATGCGATAAATTTAATTTGAGGTTTTCCTTTTTTAAGACAAGAATACTGAAAACAATTATTTTTAGGAGTATTTCAAACGAGTTTTGAGGAAATTTTTAAAGTAATTCTAACGAAAATTCAAAGCAAATTGATATTCTGAATTCCGAGGATAGTTCTAACAAAATTTTGAGAAAAATTTTCAGAGATAATTTTTAGAAAATTTAGAAGAGATTTCGAAGTAAATTATGAGGGCATTTCAAAGAATTAATAGGAATTCTGAGCAGAAAACAGAAATTCCTGTGGTAATTCCATGGGAATTTCAGGAGAATACTAAGTGCATGTACTTCAAGTGATTTATTCAGGAGTATTTTTCAGGCAATAGGGTTCTTTAATTTTGAAAAATGTATCGGTTTTTATACATCATCTGAAAGAGCTTCGTTTTCTAAGCACATCGATAGTTTTTTCGAACCCACACACTTTCATCTCGATTTTCAAATCAAGATTTAAAGCAAAATAATCGCTTCACTGTTTGACACTAAACTAACAAACTGACAGCTCGCTCCCATCGAAAGTGACACCGAGGGGCGTTAATAAGGTGATTTTTGCAAATGTAATCGTACTTATTTAAAATAGTTCCAGTGTACCAAAATGGATGAAATTTTGGGTTTGAGATCCATTTTTAATGCAGATTATGAATATGCAATTTGAGAAGCATTGCAGAGTGAATTCAGAAACTATTCCGTAGAAGATTTTCAATTATGGACGAAATTATAAAAGAATTCAATTTTTCCACAATTTGACGCAGAAAAAGGTCAAGATTCAGGAGGTTTGGGAATCCTAAGGTTTAGATTTTTAAAGATTTCATGCTTAGAAAATTATTTGATGTTGGATTTAGAAAAAGTGTCATGGTTTAAGGCGCTTTATTTAAAATTAAACATTCCAGACATGGAGCGGGGGATTATAGGGTAGGGAACGTGAGAAGTTTTCAAGTTCCAAAACTAGCAAAAATATTTGAAACGCCGAATTTCAAAATTTATTCCGATTAGCAATTTTTTAACTTTTTCCCGATGTTTGCCTGTACTTTTGGAAATTTTTCCGGTTGTGCGATATACATTAACATTAAGCAAAAAACCGAAAGAATCACTAGGTTAACTACTAAGATAGCAGCATTTTTCCTGGGTCAAATTCGGACCTGTGTTCGAATTCCTCAAAATTCGTCTATATTTCAACAACCCTGAAAGTTTAATCGAAAATCTTTACAGGATTTTATTAGAATATTCTCAAACATTTCCTTGAATATTTTCCCAGCGTATTTTTCAGAATTCTTCTTAAATTCTCAGAGATCCTCTCTGAGAGTCCCTACAACAATTATTTTTAACAGTCTAGAAATTCTCTGCTGATCGATCAAAAAAAAACATGAAATTCATCTTTAGATTTTCTTCGAATTTTAAAGCGTTTTCTAGGAAGTCGCTGAAGATTCCTACTATAATTCTCTTTTGAATTCCCCAACAAATCAATTCAAATTTTCTTGAAATTTTGTTAAGAATTATCTTGGCAATTTTGCTAAGGATTTTCTTTAAAATTCTCTAGAAATTCGTTTCGTGATGCCCTTGGAATTTTCTATAAATTATCATTAGAATTTCTTTGGAATTGTACGCTCAAAATTCGATTTACTGTGTATTTTTTGCGGATCCTAGAATTCTCTTCACAATTGATTTGAAATTTTCCACAGAAAAATTTAAAAAAATACTCTGGACTCACACAAGTGGCATGGAGTCAAAGTCTAGAATCAATAAGTTTTTTTTTCCAAAACTTCCTTTGATTTTCTCTAAAAAACCTTGTAGTTTTCTCTTAAAAAAAACCTGGTGTTATCCATTTTAAAATCTTCTCAAAACTCATTCGAAAAAAAAAAATCTAGTCCAATAATCTTGAGAATTTTTAAAGGTCGAAAATCTTATGCTTTTTCCAAAAAGAAAGATTAAGTAAATGGGGGCCGAGAGTCCAAGTGACTTCCGTCACTAGTGCAGTGAGAAAAGTCAGGTCGTGGTCACGCGACTCTCTGTGCAAATCAAATGGAACGTCACGTCACCATGACGCGACTTTTCTCACTTCACTTTCGGAATAACGTCCAATTTTTTCCCCATTTATCATCGAAATTCATGGGTTTTCCCAGCCTGGTGACTTCGAATTCCAGATTTTTCTCGGTATTCCCGATTTTCCGGTTCACTGCTTTGATGTTTTATGAGATCTTAGACTTAGGGATTTTTTCTTCTTCTTTATTATCGAGATTTTTAGCCAGTTGGCTAGTTCATCTCATACTTAAGTAAATGTTAAACTTCATCTGTTAATGGTTTGGTTTGTACATGGGTCATTCCAGCTCAAGTGGGTACAGAATTTAAAAAAAAGTTGTGGCCGATGTCACCTATTTGAGCCAAACTTGGCCAAAACGCTTATTTTGACATTCTGAACAAACGCCTTTTTTGGTTTTGCTCTAAAGTGCCTAGATCCTTCTGGGCTACATCCCTGGATTTTCGAGATTTAAAAAAAAAATCTTTCAGAAGAGATTACTGCCGCTATTCGCATAACAATCCCATGTCCTATGGATTTCCTATGTACATAGGACTGTTATGCGAATAGCGGCAGATTACTAGGCGCGCCACAGGTGGTGGTACTATCAACTGCGATACTTTTAAATTGTCCGTTAAATGCTTGTTCGATGAACAACTTACGAGTGTTATGTCTTTTTGTCTGTGGTATAATAATGTCTAATCAAACGTTACTTTCACATGAGAATCAAGCGCTGTTTAAGAAAGCAGATATGTCTAAGAAACGCTGAATAATCAAACATTTGATAGAATAAGTTCTGCTACAACTAGTAGAATAAAAGTGCAGTGAATACAATCGTCAAAAAGACGTTTATTCAATAGGCAATTGTTTGTTGGGTATAATAAGCCCGTACATTGCTTTATTATCCTATGATCCAATCAAAGAACACTAGTTTCTTTTAGACGACACACAAGATACGATCTTCGATCCGATTTGAGTGAATTTTTCCCTTGCTTTATTCGAGCTCTCCTCGGAACATTTGTACTCGCTGCCATCCTTCTTGGACTTGCAAGCTTTGAATGATTTTATTTCCTGGCTAAGAATCTTCTTCACTTCACTGCCCATGGACTTGAAGCAGCTGGAAATCTGCAAGTGAAAAAAATGTGATTCGTACGCAATTCGGTATTCAGGAAATGCTTAGTTGTAAATCAAACCCAACCTTAGAATAATCTCCAACAGTTCCAATTGCATCGATAACAGGATTTCTCAATCCCGCTTGCAGATCGTTATCCAAGGCAAGTCGCAGATATTCGCTCTCTATGTGGTCCACCTTGGTAACTTTTTCCATTTGATCGACGACCTTGTTGTACGTATTGATACGATCATCCTTGGCTTCACCTTTACCTCCACCGGATTTTGGAGAACTTTCCTCATCACCTCCAGCATCGTCACCTCCTTCTTCCTCACCTTCCCCGTTTTCCTTACCTTCTCCTGCATCATCGCCTCCCGCATCATCGCCTCCCGCATCATCGCCTCCCGCATCGTCGCCTCCTGCATCTTCGCCTCCTGCATCTTCACCTCCTGCGTCTTCATCTCCTGCATCATCGCCTCCTGCGTCTTCGTCTCCTGCACCATCGCCTCCTGCGTCTTCGTCTCCAGGATCTTCACCTCCTGCATCTTCGCCTCCTGCATCATCTCCTGCCGCGTCATCCGGTTTTTCGCCACCATCGTTTTCTTCTGTCGTCTCCTCCTTTGGCTCCTCTCCACCATCTGCAGCTTCCTCGTCACCTTCGGGGAAAGGTCTTGAAAGTGCAAAGTTCACCAGGCAGAATGCCACAAACAGTTTCAACAGTGGTTTCATCTTCGCGACTGTATGATGTAGACGGTCAATCCTGACGAGTGTCGTGCTTTCCACAATGGATCTCTATTTATACCGGTTAGTCTGTGGGAAATCATTCATTCGTTGGATACAGTGTACAACTGTTCAAATACACTAGCTTGCAGATCAGTTGGGTGTACGTTTGAAAGATCAAGATGTTCAAATATGATCTTACATACTGGATGTAGCATGAAACATGTGATTTAATGTGTGTGGGAAAACTCAGGTATTGTTGATGTGTCTGAGGATTACAATATATTGCTGTAGAGTCAAGAACTTTAGACGCCTTCGTCCTTCTCCTAGATTTTTTATTAGCTAAATTTGAAACGAATTTAAATAGCTTGAGCATAGAGCCGTTAAAGTGAACAAGCATCTTTGTCCTAACCTGCTTGGATAACATTAAAGTGACTCCGAATGCACGAAATTACACTTTTTGTTAACAGGTGCATCTTTGTCATTGACGAAAAAATTAATGAGACAAAGGTTTTTTTTTGAGGATCAAGTCTATCAGTGACTATGTTAATAACGATTTTGTCAACATCGTGTGAAAGTCTGTCAATGACAATGACAAATCTCAGCACAGGTTGGTGCTGTTGATAGCAAATACAATCTGTTACAGCACTGTATTGGACAAATTTAAGAAAATTGCTTCCCTTAGCTGTAACAATTCAGTGCCAACATTTCAAAGGGGCGTAATTGCTTTTGTAAACAATGACTTTAGCCCTCAATTTCTCGCGAATGAAATCTTACCTCTCCAAAATAACAATGCTAGCTGGTAGAGGAAACATTCCTCTACCTGCTGGTGTCATTATTTTTCATGAGTGAGCTTTTATTCGCGAGAAATCGACGGCTAAAGCCATTATTTACAAATGCAATTACACCCCTTTGAAATGTTGGCACTGAATTTAAAGAGGAAATCGATCATCGCTGTTAGGCCCTTATGTATGTAGGTATGCTCAATGTTGATTTCAACTGATTTCAACTGACAACTGACGAATCGATCAGACGCGATCTTCTCTAATTTCCATGAAACTTTGCACAATTGTACGCTATGGGTAATGAACTTTAGAATTCAGCAAGATGGCCGCTTAGGATCATCCTAAAGATCTTGTTCCCAATCTATTTAAGTTTAAGGTTGAGGACAACTCTCTTAACACGTATCAATATATTGACGCGAAGGGGAATTATTGACAATAATATTGATGATGTGAATACAGAAATATTGTCAATATCGATGCATTTACGTCAATATAGAATGTATTGACGTCAATATTGAATGTTTTGACAACACGATTATTGTCAATAGAAGTAATCGTGTAGGGTCCACTTTAGATGGACATACCGTACTAAATTACGGGAAAGATGAAAGCAATAAGCTTGTTTTTAGACTTGGTGTTAGTTTTGTCAATGTGCTGCCAATGTGCGTGACTGCTTTCTCACCCCGATGGGTCTGGGTTCAATACCAGCCGAGGTCGGTGGGATTTTTCTGAGGCATAAAAAATCTCTGGTCACGTCTTCTTTGAGAAGGGAAGTAATGCAGGTGTGGAAGCTACCTTCCTGCACATTCGATTGCCGTCAATGAATGGCAATCGATGCCCGTTGGTGATTGGCACTAGATTGCGGAACAGAGACCGACGTTAAATAAATGAAGAAGAAGAAGAAGCTCCCTGAAAATCAGCTTACTGTCTAGTGTTAGTCCGTCCTGAACCGTTTAACTGCTTAGTTTGTTATTCACAGACTGAACAAGCCTGGGTATTTATGATTGTGAACAAAATGACCTGGGTCTTCCAGTAGTGGTTGAAAAGCTCAGACAGCACAATCAAGCCTCTCTGAAGTTTGGCAATCAGAGCTCCGATTACCTTTCCCTTGTAGACGATGGATATGCCAGCCGAAATATTGGAGCACGGCGAATAAGAACGACTCAAATTTGAGTTTAGTTCACTCATAATCGCCAAAAGTGCAGGAACTCAGCGATGAATTAATTTGCCTCATGTTTTCCCAGATTGGATTCACTCAGTCTATTGGTACTACTCCGAGACTGAATAAAATTTTCGTCAATTTCCTCATTTTCCGGCAGATTTTTTAGGTTTTCCACAGGAAACCATGAGACAAATTCTACTCATCGCTGAGTTCCTGCACTTCTTTTGGCGATTATGAGTGAACTAAACTCAAATTTGAGTCGTTCTCATTCGCCGTGAGGTGAACTGCACTGTAGCACAACTTCACCATCTGTTCGAATGAAACCTCAGACCATTCAAATCGAAACATCGAAATCGCTTTTTCGATTGATAGCTGCAACCGGATGACGGTTGTTTATACTCCTCTTGAGGATGAACATTGATACGAGAAGCAAACAGACCTCAGTTGAAATACATAACACTCTCTGTAGAATGATTGTCATCCCAATTTGAAATGCATATCGAATTAGTTCAGCCTCAGAACGCAAATCATCCAAAACGATGATGTAGATAATTTTATCGAACGTCACGTGCTGATTTGAGCTGACAAACAAGGTGTAAAGTTTGCTCTTTACTTTCAGTAAAAGTAACGTCGATTATCGAGTTGAGACGAAATTTCATTATGGCTTTCAATCCCTTTCACCGTCACTCGATCACCAACATTCAATACGAAACTAACGATTTTAAATTGGCTCACTACTTGACTAGCCTATTGGTCCCTAGCAAATCGACTAACGTACCCCATTATAGTATAAATTTCAGTACTACACTATGTTTGTTTCGATTCGCTATGAAAGTTTGACAGATAAAATGAGGGGTTAGTGGATTTTCCTATGTTTCGAGGGGTGAATCGACTAGCTTGGGACCGAAGATAGTACCAGAGCTGAGCCAAAAAGTTGAGCTCGTTTTTTCGGGACCTCCTGGTCTTAGAGTTACCTCTATGCTATCACCGCTCTTTCAATTTGTTTGATATGGAATAGATGGATATGTATATGGATGGAATATATATTAAACAATCATGGGATATGAACCAGCCTGCGGTTGTAAATCTCGATAAAAAGATAAAGATATAAAAATTAAACGCATTACTTGTAATCTTCAAGTGTTTTCACATGAGGAATGCTTTGAATATATGTTTTCATTTTCTGTCATACACGACATGAAACCTCTCTTAATGTGCTTCAAGAAAGACGAAACTATCAAAGTAAAGCGCTTTTTCACTCATACGCTTCACCGAAGCTTGAAAGAAAGACCAATGAAGCGACGGGAGAAAGAGGAACAAGCGATTGTTTTTTTTTTGACACGCCGACTGATGTTATAAGCAGAGTCAATGTTATGATAAGAGTCTCGCCAAGAGTGAAGCCAGAAGTACCAATTGAACTGTCAAACAGGGTACCAAACAAACAAAGTAAATAAACATTATTGTTCCCACAGCCAGTGAACTACAAATAGATTTTTTTATTGCGTTTATTTATAAGGTCCCCTCGCCTATTAGGTATTGCTTGGGCCGATGACCATTATTTACAATTAGATCCCTTCCCGCTTTTATTTTCCAAATAAAACGTACTATCCCCTATTTGATAAGTTGCATTATTTTCATCTAAACGATCTGTTTGCTGGCCAGTCTTCTGGGTGCACTGATCAGCACGAACTTTCTTTTTTCGTTATCCTTGTGCTTCGACTGCCGGCGTTTGTTGGTATTTTCAATGAAATTCCTTTGTTGCGTTTGATGAGCAGGTGCAAGAGCATAGCCAGGTTTCGAGCTATGGAGGGGCGAAAAAAAAATTACTATGGAAAATTTGACCGAATGCCATTTCACCGAACACCATTTCCCCGAAAGCCTTTGTGATGCTGAGTTTAGGGGGGGAGTCGACCCCCTCTGGCTACGCCTATGAGCTGGTGCTTTAGTTTTCGTCGTTACTTTCAACGTTTGAAGTGTGATGATCCTCGGTTTGATTGTCGGTGTTTCACTGTTGTTCTTCTGCTGAGAACCCGGTGAAAGCAGGAGATGATTGACCCGATGTCGTTGGCTGGTTTTGTTCGATATCCATCGACAGGAAATCAGCGAGACTGAATACCCCCTCGGTTGATGGAGCGGTGCTATTGTTCGATGTGGCTACATCCAAACATTTCTGTTTGGGATGTGCTGCTCGGCCACAATGGCGGCACGTTTTTGGTTGCTTGTCGTACGTAAACCAACGTTGTTTCGTTGTCGACAGTGATATATGTTGGAATGGCGCTTTGGAGTCGCATTCGCAAAACTCGAACACCGCTCAGGAATCCTGAGTAGTGCTTCCATTTCTCATGTCGACTGGAAAACACTGTCCCGTACTTTGCCATGTGGTTCATAACAGTGCCAGAGGAAGGTCATGCTCTCGAACGGTCACTGCTTCACAATCCACATGTACCGGGATTTTGAACTCACTCTTCGCATAGAGAAACGCGTTTTATAGGTGCGCCATTTCATAGCGCAAGGCAACTTCATTGTCTCAAATAAAAACATAATTTCGGACGTTATGAAACTGAATGTAGGGGAAATGCAGGTAATGTCGGCCTAAGTGTCCCTAATTTGGGCCCATACAAAAATTCAGCAATCGACAAAATTTTCAATAGCAACCAAAAATATCCATTAGTAACGTCCCAATAACGCGTTCATCTAGATAAAATTGATAAATAGCAGATTTTTAGCGATGGGCCCAATCTTAGATCCATAGGCCAACATTAGAGACATTTCCCCTATCTAACGTCCGAATATTGAAGCTTAATATTGTTCTCGAAGAATTTTTGCACTTTTCCCGCATTGGGACGAACTGGAAGGACACTGAAGTCAACAAAAAGTGTGTTTTTACGAACTACACTCATTTTCGCTACAATATTTCACCAAGTTAAGCAGACCAGAAAGAGCGCACGTCTCATGAATGCGAGTAATGGCTGTCGAATGTGTAATTTTAGATAAAAAACATTTCTTCGCTTTATTTAGTATTTTGTGGTATTTATAAGTTATACCAAGCACTTGTTTGAACATATTTCAGGTTCTATAATTGTTTTTGTCTCCCAGAAGCTCCGTAATCGACATGACATTTTTCACTTCTGAATGAAAGTCATTCGATGCTAACGCAAAAAAAAAATCTGATTGCCGTTTACTCTGACGAAAAATAAATCAGAAACAGTACAGCGCAACACTTCCTGTTGGCGGGAATCTTATTATAACATCGACTCTGGTTCTAAGCTGTTCGACTTCAACAGAAATAGAAAGCTAGTAGTCTCTTCGTCGCATCGATTCTGTCGATTGAAGCTGATATTGTGACGTTCTGATCACAACCGCCCAGAGGATATGATTTTTACGTCAAAGGCGCGTAGAAAGTTGTCATCATTGACATCGCCGTTCCACTGAACCGTAACCTGGAAGATCATCCGATGTTTGTTGTGGGACAATATTTTGGAAAACATTATTCTAGAACCTCGAGAAAATAGGGTCTTATTTATGCTAAACTAGAAAAATCCAGAATTAGTCATTCCACTGTCTCAAAATATCAGATAGAATAGATCGCCTCAAAACTGCTCGACAATATTATTAATTGGCACCAAAATGAAAGAATTAACTGTTAGGAACAACTTTTTAAAACTTTTTTCTAAAGTTTTAATTTCGGGCTCTAAATGCATCCTTCCTGCTAATTTCCCATTCCGCTACTGTGCTATTGTAATAAGCTATTTAAATTGAATTATTTGGCATAGTGTTTCAAAGTTTGTTTTTGCTACACTGCACTCGCAGGAAGTATATTTTATTTAAGTCATTATAAAAAGGTTCACAATTTAGTTATTTTCAGGCTGCATTTTTTTCCAATCTTTATTAGCTAGGTTTTTAGCTCGTTGCCTAGTTTATTTCAAACTGCATACGCTTCTACTTCTTCGATGGTATAGAAATCTGAAACAAAAGTCCAAAATGTATTCATACAGTTCCTCATTAAAAAAAAGCAAAAGTATGCCATACCTTTTCCTTAACGTTATCCATTCCACCCTTAATTTTCTTGAGAACGTCATCGACGGCTGCTTTCATCTTCTCGGGATCCTTCAAGTCTCCAATATTGACCATCATTTTAGAAATATCTCCGTTCCCATCGTTTGCCTTCTCAGGAAGTGGAAATGTCACAACTGTTGTGATCACCACGAACAATGCCATCAAAAGTATGGAAAGTAGAGCTTTCATTTCGAGTAATAAGACTTATGTGAGCAACTGATTCGGTTGAGTAGGTGTGGAAATCCTTTTATACGAGCACAAGTTGACGGCGAAGGTAAACCACATGTGGCAATATGTGCAGCTTGTGTGCAGAATCATTTGAACAAATATTAGGAAAATGATTCCAATGCTTTCGGATCAAGTCAAACGCAGTCAGCTGGTATGGGTAGATTCCTCCAACTGGGAAGTTTTATTGGACGTCTGCTTCGTTTCAATATAAATTGAGCCATCTTTGTTTTGTTCTCTTCTCCCTCTCTCTCTCTTTCTCTGTCGCCTAAGCCTAGTTTTGGACCTTAGACCAAATGAGTCGCCTAAAATTTGTTAGTGCTAGATCTTTACAATGCAATATATAATTATAATAAAATACTCTGTTCTGTTTCAACTGTAACATCTGCTCAAACTTTAAAAAACGCATAAAAGTGTACCATCATGAGTGTTTTCGTTTAAAATGGCATTAATTCCGTATAAACAATTATATACAAAAGTGTTAAACTTTGTTTGCGAATGCCATGTTTCGCTTACGATGTTCCCGACCTTGTTCAGGGCTAGGGAACGCTAAGGCACTAACTCATTCTGTGTCGTTTCAAGTTGGTTCATTTGAAAATGCAGTCGTCTATTAAAAAGAATATTAGCTAGAAAAATACTTTTTACTGCTCAGTAATACCGGACGATAAAATAAAAATAAAACAAATTAACTATCCTACCAAAGAAGAAAAAAAAAGAAACAGATTAAGGAAATTAGAAATACTTGGTCTAGTATGAATAGAATCGAAATAAATAACTTTTGCTGATAGATGTTTCTGACTTAAATACCGATAGTTGTTGGTCACTTTCGCCTAAATGAGCCGCGTTTGTTTCAGATAGTGAATCAGCAGGGCATGGATGAACTTGTACTGTGCTAGCGATGGTATGATGTTGTCCCGCTGCTGGCGGATTTGACCGATCAATCGGGGGATGTCGAGATCCTTAGTTTATTTTTTGCAATAGAAAATAGAGGAATTTAGTAATGTATTGCTGGCGCTAACCAACTTTGGGTCAATCAAACATACCTGATTATGATCCAACGTGTACATCAGCAGGTCGGCTACCAGGGTCACGCCGGTGCGGCCACCGCCTTCGTTGCAGTGAATCAGTACCGGTGGGTTGGTGTTGTGCGAGGGGGGAACCTCGGCAACCGACGCTAACCGAACGGAGTTCAGTTCCTCGAGGAAACCTGGCGGAAAGGGGTGATCGATTTTCAATTTTCATTTCCACTTTGAAAGCTTGATTTGAAGCTGTAATCTTGGTTTTTTCACAATACTGTTTTGAATCGATTTTTTTCGTATCTATTTTTGATCGTGTAATCTCTATTAGCAACTATATTTAATGCAACGTGTTTCAAAAAATCATAATCAAAAAATCAAAGAAAAATCAGGTGGTATTAGAAATGCAACCTGTTGAGGGTTATATCGAAAAAAATCAAAATTATGTTAAAACAGAATTTAGTGTGGATAATTATTTATTACTATGGTAAATTTGCTCAAATACAGCGAATTTCAAGAGGATGCTCTGAGAACTTTAGGATATATTTTAAGAAATGGTTTTCGAGCTCCGAATGGAAGTTAAAATGGTCTGAAAACGTCAAAATAGTTCTATATAGAACGCCTTGAAAACGACAAAATAGCTCGGTGATCCCTAAAATGGCATTCCAAAATTGTAACAGGTTTTGAATCGCCAACATATTCAAGCTGCCTGATTTTCTGCGAACCTCCTGAGGGTAGCCCGTGATTCACCGGTGGGTCGCGACCCATATATTGAGAAACGCTGATCTAGGAAGTCTACATTATTCTGGAGTAGTGCTTCTTATATTTTCAAGTTCAACAGAGACAAACAGGACATTTAATCGAAAGATGTGTATTCCATATTGCTTATAGAGCTTAACCACAGCATATGCAAAGTAAATATAGCCTTGGCGAATTAGTTCAACCTACTCAGTTAAATTTTGCTCGATGTTTCGACTGAATGAAAGAATCCGTAGAGCTTCCATATCATCAAGTGAGACTTAAAGGTGCATTAACAAAATATCTTGGACTCTCCAAATCATCCTGCAGTTCAGATCTTGATGTTCCATAGACTCATCAAGGTATTCTATGATGTCCCGACTTCATAAGGGTTGAACGATAAGCTTCGTGGAGCCCCATAAAATCATGTGAGATATATTCACCCCTTCCATAGCAAAACAATATATTCGCTCCATGAGGCCGGTAAAGCACTCCGCGTATTTTCTCATGAAAATACGAGAGCTTCTGAGTGCTTTATCTTTAAGCTCTTTTGTCATCACCTCTGCATGGGTCCCATCTCATTGCTCGATTCCGGTCAATGAGAAAGCGGACTAACTTGCAAAGGTGGGCGCTATGGAAGGCGATATTTACGATTGACAAATCGCCTACAACGAATTTTTCTTCATTATCGTCAACAGTCTCTCGCCAGCTGGCAACATAAATGGAGTGATGGGTGTCCCTAAGCAGGGTGTCTACTCAATCCAAGGAATCAAATTCCCTGAGTTTTCCAGGTTTTTCCAGGTGCATACAAATTATACACATTATTATTTATTCTATTTATCCATCTGGAATCCCTTTTATGTACTTATTGATTTATGTTATTTTCGATTGTTCAAACTTGGTCGTTGGTACTTATAAGTCGGCACAGCAAAAAAGTTATTGAATATTACAGCAGAACAGATGCACATAGGTTGTTTAATATTAATTTGTACAATTTATGTTTAGTAAATGCACCAATAGTGGAGATACTGTAGTGCAATGTGTTCCTATGGTGGCTTATAGAGTCTCCCTAAGCCGCTATAGAAGAACATTGTACTAACGTAATGTACTTCTATAGCGGCTTAGGGAGACTCTATAAGCCACCATAGGAACACATTGCACTTAAGTACCTCCACTATTGATGCATTTATTCTACACATAATTTGCGAAAAGAAATTATATCCAAGGGTGTAATATTGTATTTGGTTTTTGCAATCACATTAGTTATTCATACAGTAGCATGCATTACGTCAATCAATATTACATTCTTTTTTGGTATTTGTGTAGTATTTTTTAATTCAAGAATATAAATATAAGTAAGAAACCTTTCTATACTATTTCGATAAAACGATATATCAAAATTTGATAACAATATGCTTTCAAAAACAACATATCATTTTGATGATATGTTTGAGTTCAACTCTGTTTGGAAGATCAACACAGAATAAATCATGGTTTCACATGTCTAAAATCTCTTAAGGTCCGTTTAGACTATCTGATTTCTTGGTCTGACTTTGACCGCCGCCATAATGAAAAATCTGCTCGAATTTACTTTCGACACACTTTGTCGAACCCCCCTGTTTGCTGGTGTTCACACTGCTTGCACATGTCGAAAGAACTGCCAATTTAGATTTCAAAACAAAACTGTATCAGGAATCAAAAGTAAATACTTCCATCATGAATTACCGGAAAATTGCGCTAGTTTCGGCAGACGTATTTGCTTTTATTATTTTAAATAAAATGAGGAAGAGAAGGTGAACTTTGTGGAGTAGGAAATAGTTGCTCAGGAGGAACGCCGGCAGGGATCTGGCTCATCTTGTCCATCAAGCGCTGCGATATGAAGATGAAAATGGATTTCAAAACTTTGCCAGGATGTCGATACCAACTTTAGACAAGCTAGTGGGAAAAGTTCTCACTAGATATACATGATTCCTTGAGTTCTGAAAATTTCTGTTGACAACTCAATTCTGCAAGGTCTTCAAACCTTCTGACGTCCCTGAAGTTTTGTTTCTATTCTCCGGTAAAATTTCTTTAAAGATCAACAATCTTTCCTGACAATCTGTAAATTTCTCGGTAGTTCTACAGATTTATTTGAAGCTCTGTGTGTTCTTCAGAAGTTCTGCAAATTTTCCTAAAAATCTACAAAGTTCCTGAATCCCTGAAGATTTAAGATCCTGGAAGATCAACAATTATCTCTGATGTTCACAAAATTTCTAATAATCTACAAACTTCTTGACAGTTCTGTAATTTTCTCTGCAGATTTTCATGATTCAATGAATATCTGCAAATATCTCTGAACATCCATACAATTTTCTAAAGAATTAAAAGATTATCTAGAAATTTTTGAGCTTTCCGGAAGTTTTAGGAAGTATTCTGAAGTTTTTCTAATTTTTCTGAAGCTGTGCAAATATCTCTAAAGATCAGCGAACTTACCTGTAGTTCTGTAAATGTCTATCAAAATCCAAGAACCGTAGTAAAATTCTGAAAATTTATTTAAACATCTGCTAATTTTTCAATAGATTTACGATCTATCCTCTGAACTTTTCTGAAGATCCTAAAATTTATTTCAAATTCTGCAAAGTTTTCTGAAGTACTGTATTTCTGCTCTAAAGATCTACGAACTGCCCTGAAGTTCAATAAATTTCACAGTGTATCTCCGAACTTTTCTAAAGTTCTTTAAATTTCTCTGTGGATTCTTGAACTAAAGATCGGCGAACTTTCCCGAAGATCTGTGAGTTTTGCTGAAGTTTTGCAAATTTTTCTAAAAACGTACGAACTTTCTGACGTTCTACAGACTTCTCTTAAGGTCTACGGACTTCTTTTAAGGTCTACGGACTTCTCTGAAGTTCTTTAGATCTACACAGCTAAAAAAAAATTGGGGTAAATTTCAGTTACTATGATACTCATAAATGGAGCGTCACCCAGACAACCAGAATGTACGTATATTCAAAGTTGTTTTCGTGATATACAAACATATATACAAACCGACAAATCGTATATAATGCAAAGAAATGGCTTATACGTTCAGAAGTGGAGGCAATATACGTGCAAATTTAAATTTAATTTTAAACGAGTTGATTTAGCATCATATACGATTTAATCTGTAATAACAAATTCACTTTGAAAAGTCTTACGATGTAACCCGATTTGATTTGTGATACAGTACGACGGAAAAATGAATCATCGCATATAGGTCGGATATTTGCATTCCATACGATTTAAATTAAACATAATGCGATGTATGCCATTCTTATATGCGATTTTGACTTATACTGTAGCAATTTACGATACTGTCTGTACATTGTTATACGACTTCTGGTTGTCTGGGCATATATCATACAAGTTTAGATTATAGATCGTGTAAATTTATGAGACATGTCATGTAATATCCCATATATTGTATGCAACTATCCACTTTTGTTTGCAACATTTCTTGCAAGTTGCTAGTTTACGTGAAAAGGAAGTTTACATGTATGAATGTTTGCATGCATGGATGTTTACATCGCCAGTAAAATTCAGAATTTTTTGGTGTGTATCTATTTCCGACTTCCATGGAGTTCTGCAAAATATTGTACTTTTGTACTTCGCTGCGATTTGTTTTTGGAATTGAGGTGCTTTTCTGACATTTAACGAATTTTTTCTGAAGATCTCACATTTGTGTGAAACTGTGAAACTTTCTGTCAAATTCCTGCAAATATCTTTAAAGTTCTGTAAAGTTGTCTTAAGCTCCGTAGCTCTATTCCCAAGATCTACAAATAAAAACTTGAGGCTCAATAAATTTCTCAGTAGATCTGCAAACTTCTCTGATGTTTTGTAAATTCCTCTCGGGTTACCCTGAAGATTTGAAAATATCATTGAAGATTACCTCAAGTTGTCAAAATTTATCTGAAAATATTTGAGCTTCTTTGAAGTTTTAAATGCCTCTCTCAAGATCTAAAAATTTTCCTGAAATCGTGTAAATATTTTTTTTAAACCGCTGAACTTCCCTGAAGTTCTGCAATTTTTACTGAAGAGCCATTACCATTTCTGAGATTCTTGTGATTTTTTTCAGAAATCCTGTAATTTTTTTCAAAGTTCTGTAACTTTGTTCTGAAGATCTATGAACTTTTTTGATGTTGAATAATGTTTCGAGGGTCTCCAAACTTCTGTGAAATACTTTATATTTCACTCTAGATTCTTGGACTTGTCTGAAGTTATGCAAATTTTCATGAAGATTTGCAAAATTTCGCTTATAGTTTTACAAATTGATTTGAAATTATTTTTGCTTGCTTGAAGTTTTGAAAATTTCTTTGAACATTTATCTGAAGAGCTACGACCTCTCTTGTGATGTTGTTTTTATGAATTTCTGTTAATTACTTTTAATTTGTTTGTAGTTCTGTTCTCAAGATCTACGAACTACCCTGAAGCTCAACAAATTTCTCAGTAGATCTCCGACCCTCTCTGAAGCTAAAAAAAAATTCTATGTAGGTTCTCAGACCTGCTGTCTGGCATGCTCATTCTTATACAATACATGCTTCGTATGCTTCCTTTTGCCAGTCTCTCTTTTTCGGTTGTTTCCTTTTACGACGATTTTGATCCTCCACATACAAATCAGCGAAGAGCAAGCCTGACAAGACTCTCTGAATGAACTTGTCTTGTTCGCACACGTTGTCTTAGATGTCAGATGCTTGTCAAATCCAGTGTCCTTAAGAAACGTTTCGAGAAACTGAACGAAAAACTTCTTTTGAATTACGAATGGAGTGATAATTGGAAAATTCCCTGAGTGGAACCAAAATTCCCTGAATATTGCAGGTTTTTCCAGAAAAATTAAAATTCCCTGTAAATTCCCGGTTTTCCAGGTTTTTCCAGGTAGTAGACACCCTGCTAAGGTGTCGAAGATTCCTTGGTTCAAAGGGTTGGAGGTCGGTCGAGACTTCATTCATGTCCAATCACTATTCGTTAAGCGCTCACTTGATCCGTGTTGGGCTGGGGGACAGCAATCTTTGTGAATTTGGACAAGGTTACCAGGACGCAGATCACATTATTTGGTCTTTTGTTGAGCATCGTGGAGTCAGATCTGAGCTATATGATTTACTTCGGGCTCGAGGTAGACAACCTAATGTTCCAGTTCGGGATGTTTTGGCTGGACGCGATCTGGAGTTTATGAAACTCATAATGTTTTCTTGAAGAATATTAACCTTAGATTGTAAGTTAGTAATAATAGTAGAATTACACTGCTGATATCAAGTTGCATAGGAATAAGTTCATGTTTTAGGAATAATGAAATATTTGTATAGTAAATCATATTTCAAACATCCTTCTCCCTCTCCCCACCCATGAAACTGTAAATCTCCACTAACCTCGAGACGACCGCGAGTACTCGGTTCAATTCCTTTAACTATAGATTTTAACTTTAGATTTAATACATTAATAATGTATAACGCGAAAGATAATTTGGCTCTGTAAAGTTTATTCGATTAAGCCTGTACACATAAATAAATTTAGAAAAAAAAAACTAAAACGATATAATGGTTCTCAGAATTTCGTAAAAATTAGTAGTTTTGGTCCTTATCGCAAAATATTAGACCTGCATTTTTTATTGTGTCACATACTAGGGTGGTCCAAAAAATAGATTTTTTTCAAAGATTTCTTTTCTTTATTTACAACTTTTGAACAACTCGGCCGATTTCAAAGATCAAAATATCAAATAAAAGGTCTAAGAGACGAACCAGCTACAGGCTGTAAGTCTCCAAAATAAAGCAAAAAATAAAAAAAATAAAAGGTAATTAAAAATACTTTTTAGAAAAAAATTATACTAAAAATTGAGATTTTGTATTGAAAAACATTGATTTTAGGTTTGTTTTTTATGGTTTTTATGGTTTGTAGGCCGCAATATGTTTTTATATTTCTCCTTGAAAATTTAGGTTAGAATCAGCGGTTATTTTTTTTTTTCGTTTTTGAGTTATCATTTTATGAAGTTATCAAGTTTTTATCCTTGACAACAATAAGCAAATAAGGTAGTGGAATTAAATGGAAATTACTAATCCTTCTCTCTCTCATTATACAGGTATTCCACTAAGACGCCCACATTCATCAGGATTGTATTATTGTGTTGGCAACACATTTTGGGTTCTACAAAACATCCTGGAGTTTAGGTCTTGATGTTCTACGTCCTCGACAAAGTCTCTAAGTTATTATACGAATTCGTAGAGCTTCGTTGGACTTCACCACATCATGTGTTCTGGTGAATTTTTGAGTCCCTAAAGCATTGTGAAGCCCCACAATGTCATGTGGGAGCCCTAGCAGCACACATGTCACTGAACAATTGTGGTTACTTGTGTGTCACTTATTCCAGTCACAATCAAGTTGCAGCAGCTTATTTCGATCAAAGTGTGCTGCTTGGGATGTATACTTGCAATGACAAAGTACTTTGGGTTCTTCAAATTATCCTGGAGTTTAAATTATGATGTTCTACAGGCTCAATCAAGTTTTGCATGATGTCCTCATTTATTATTCGTGGGACCTCATCACATCATGTGTGACTTAAATTGTATCAGCAACAAATCCTCGATTCTCCTAAGTGCTTGTAGTTCAGATCTTGAAATTCACCAAGAAATTCCCATTATTGATATTATTCCTTACATTCGTTTTATCGCTTCGCTCGCCTCTTCGCTTTTCTTCGCTCTCACTAATGGTATCGGCCTTACATTTATTAACGCTTGGAAAATCCAACAGGTTAAAGGCGTATAAGAACCACTCGTAGTCTTGCTTATGGAATGCATAACTCATGCTTATGGAATTCATAATGGAATAGATAAGTCATATCTTATGATTTTTTTTTTGCCTCAGTGCACTGCTACCATTGCCGAGTCTACCTACGTGTTTTTATCGAACTCGAATTGAAAACAATTACAAAAATTAGGAAAGAGAGTTTGAGTTCAAATGACAGAGCTTTTGTGTTGTTAGTCAAGCATCAATCATCCATTGCGATGCTACTTGAAGTACGAAGTTCTAATTCAAGAGACATTATACAATTTAAGCTTACACCCAAAACAAACACCCTCAGCACTGTACTCACCTAGGAAGTGTCCCACGTTGCTGGGGCAATTCTGATCACCCCACTTGTTGTACGAGATATGCCACACAGATCGATAGCGTCGGCTTTGCGTATGATACACACGCAGCTTGGAGGTGGTGCAACGATCCGATTCCTGCGAGAATTCTCGCCAAACTTGGTACTGCAAACGGGTGATCATATTCATCAAACTATTCAATGTCATTAACTCCTGTCAGTGAGCACGTACCTGTCCATACTCTAAGCACCGTTCACTAGTCTGCGGAATATAGTTCAGTTCACTCGATAGCTGCACCAACAGGTACACGTCCGCTTCCCAAACACACTGCCAGAAGGTATTCGTCGTGAGTGCATCGTTTGGACTCTCGGCCACGATGTAGAACCTCTGCTTGTTACCCACAGTGCTCTAGAATTAAGAAGAAGCTCATCATTAAATCACACAAACTTTCAAATCAAGCAACTCACAGTTATATGCGAAGCATTCACATAGCCCATTCGGTTGTCCCTGGTCGGAGTCAACCGGACCCGGTTGTTGTCGTACGGCAGGAAGTTGGGATCGAAGTTTTTGTTCTTGTTCTCGTCCGCCAGTGCGCAGTCATATTTGGCATTCTCCACTCGCTTCGGTATCCGCTCGAACTCGCAGTACAGCTGCGGATCGGCGAGCTTCGTCTCCAGCAGGGAACACTAGAATACAAAAAATCACTTTCAATTAAGTGCCGAAAAAAAGTACAGTGCGATGCACAATACTAACCAACTTTTCCTTGCTGATGTTGGCCGGCAGTGGTTGCTGCCGGGGCATCCCCGTCGACCAGCGGTGCTTGATCTGGCCTTCGTTCATCGAACTGTTGGCACTTCCGCCGCTGGTAGACCCAGTCGCCGCGGCGGCCTTGTTCTTACGATCCTTTTCCCGCCCCAGGGTAGCACTTTTCTGCTTGTCGGCCGAACTTTTCGATCGTCCCCCGAGGATATCCCAGATCTTTCGCCGCTTGGTTTCCTTCACCGAGCTGCTACCGGAAGTGGTTGACGTCGATGCACTAACGTTGTGACTCGTCACGTGCGAGGAGGAAGCCGTCACGGAACTGATGCCGGAATCATTGTGAGTGCTACCGTGCGAGGATGAGTGGTGGTGATTCAGGTGGATGGAGTTGTTCGCATGGGCGGAGGCGGTAGAATTGTGCGCTGCGGGGTTTGTCGAGTCCAGAGCAAAGTTGGAGTATGCGGATGAGTCGAGTACGTTGGCGGAGAGGGACCGGTTGATGGGTTCTGGTTGGGGTGTAGGAGTCGGTGGGTTGACTTGTTGTGGTGTGATCTGAGGTGGAGGTTGATTCGATGGAATCGTGAAGGTTTCCTGATGGATTATCGCATGATTCGTTGGTTCGGGTGGAGGTTTCGGATGGCGGAGTGGAGGAAGTTTCTCCGGAACGGAAAATGTAGGATGTTGAGCGACGGCAATTTGCGGTTCCTGACTGAGTCGAGATACGCCCGGAGCGGATTGTACGCTTGACGTCCGGTTCCGAATTTCACCGAGGGTCTCGTTTTCGTTCTTCCAGGGTAGGGGAACGTTTTCGTAGATGGGCTCGATGGATCCGTTGATATGCTGAGAGGAACGATTCAGGTGAGCTTTGGTGTTGATACCGATGGCTCCATTATGGAACTGAGTTCCGTCTGCGATGAGCAGGTGCTCCATGTCGGTTGGCATGTAGTAGATTACGTTTCCACCTTGGGTGGCAGGATGCATTCCTGGTTTCGTGGGTTCAACAAAGTTAAGATTCTCGTACGTTCCGTGGGGTACGATGTTTTGCGAGTGCCTTAGCTGATGGGCACCAGGGTAGAAGATCTGATTGTTTTGGGACATTTGCATGAGCTGAGCGTGATTCATGAGCGGGCGAGTTGATACAAGATCGGGACTAGATCCAGAGACATGAGCACCACGGTAGCCAAGGAGCGCACGGTGGGATGCCAGATCCGGAGTGGATGTAGAGCTGAGTCGATTCGCGGGATACGGTGGAGGTGGTTTGACTAATCTCATCATTTTAAATCGCTGGGTGAGGCCATAGTCCGAAGCATCCGAGTAGTGAGGACCGATCATGTGCGTCGTTGTGTGATGGGTCACATCCGGATATGGCTGCTGGTGGATAGTGGGTTGGTGTTGAACCGATTGGTTAAAGTACGACACATCCGGTTGACTACCGGTGATGTTAAACTCTAGATGGCCTTGTTCCTGAGCCAACATTTGAGAGGCAGATAAATGCAACAGATTGCCGTTACTCAGACGGACGTCATTGGTGCTATTGCGCATCTTTTGCTGTATGGCAGTTTCATAGTCCGGAGCCGGACGATAGGTCGGTAGCAGCGCTTTGAGTCGTTCCCGATCTTGACTGATGTTGTTATTGCTTAAATCTAGACACGATGAACTTTGTGCGCGATTGATCAGCGATGCATTCGAACCGGCTGGATTTATGGCCCAGTTCGAACTGTGATTCGAATACTCCAATGGCACCGAAGATGAAGAGTTCAGGTTTATGTCCAACGTGGACGTCTGCAGTGACGATCGGGACTGCATTACGTTGGCATTGGAATTCATAAGACTATTGTTGTTCAGATTACCTATACTACCGATATTTGTGTTGGATGCCATAAGTGGCGAAGGTTGCGATTCCACCACCATCCCCATCGACGACCCTGCATTGTTCCACACACTTGCCGAATGGCTGGCCAGTTCATTGTTGCTCTGCCAATTCGCAGATCCCATTATATGGCTCATCGCCGAGGAGGATATCTGATACTGACTTTCGCTTAGCAAATCGTCTCTACTGTCGTTCAAATTATCATTTTGAAACAGGTTCAGATTCAACTGACTCACTTGCGTTTGATTTTTCTCGAACCGCGCAAAGAACCGATGCTGCATCGCACACAGCCTCCAGATGTACGATCCCGTCGTTGAATCCGTCACCGTAAACCTTACATTTTCGCTCGCATCCGAACATTCAATGTTGAAATGTTTCTTATGATTGAGAACATTTTTAATATCACGCCACGGATAGAACTTATTCGAATCGCTGGCCACTATAATCCCCGACACCGAGATTCCCAGCGTGACGTCCCCTGCGTGTTCGTCTTTGGCAGCGAACGTTTCCTGTCCGTACCCATCCAACTGCTGGCATGCGGAAATGTACAAACTCTCTGCGGCACCTTGAGTCACATTATGCAACTCATAGGCCTGTCGTATTACCTCCTCCGTCAACGTCTCCAGCAGATCGGCTTGGATCATGTCCTTCGGAAACGACAGCAGCGTTTTCAGGTAATCCACCGTATGACGATCCTGATGATTGCCATACTCTGCCTGACGACTGTAGTTTGCCAGGATGACTGCCTGCTTCGGATCGCAGTTGATTCTACCTTCCACGACATCGTGCTTCAGCTGCAGGAAGTAGTAATTCCGCGTACCCTCATCCTGTATCAAACTGACACCGGACAGAACGTAGTACATTACCCGCAGGTACAGCACCTTCATACTGGCGGAAAACTTTTCCAACTGTCGGCTGATGGGTCGATCCAGATCGACCCACCGCATCTCACCTGTAGTGCTGCCTTTGACCTCATACCGAAGACCAAAGAACTCCGGCTGGCTGATCGATATCCGCTGGCAGACGTTCTCCAGACATTCCTGGCCGGTACTCTCCGAACTGAGGGTGCAGTCTATTTTGGTGGACGAATCTGCAAATGGGACGGAAAGGGAAGAAATTGCGTCAATATGGAGCCGTGGAAGATAACATTCCTTAGTTTAATTATTTTATGAGCCCACATTAGAACAGGTAAGGTGATGACTGCGGAGGGATGGCAATCCTCTTTATTAAACCGTAGTGGATGCATATGTTTGTTTATGTCTGATAACAGCGCGAAGAAGTCATGATGATTGATGAAGACAAAACTGCGTACCTATGATAACGTACATCTACACGTATTACAGATAAGAGTACGAGTAATTGCGAACGGTGGAGCAGCGAATCCATCAGCTGATCGATATTGGTCCAACGATGGGAGTGTTGAATACTCGTTCACAATAGATTAGGGCTTGCCCAGGTGAGCGGTCGGAAGCTAAATGGATAAATTACCAAATAATGCAATACAGGGTTTGGTCAAGGAATACGGATTAAGTTATTGCTTGTATTTACTTAAAAAAAAACTAATATCTCTTATCTCGAAACTCGTGCGATGTTTTGCGAGATAAATTATCGTTTTAGTGAACATCTGGCTGCATACTGTTGTTGATTAGACTTAAAATTGTACAAGCTTCTGATGGAATAAAAAAAAAGAAGAATTCCAGCAGTTTGGTTATCAAAGCTAGATCTAAAAATGATCACACAATTCTTTGTGAATGCTCTATCGAATCGTTGTGCAGCAGCGAATGATATGTAGCATTTGCCTTATTAGAGTTTCGAGACAAGATTTTTTTTTTGCTCTAAATAATGGTTCTGAGTAGCTTGTTATCGTTGTCTCGCCTCCTGAAGCCCTTAGACGACAGATTTTGACAATCATCAACAGCCAAATCGGTTTTCAAGCGGACACCAGAAGTTTTGAATTCTTGTTGTCTTCGATCCGCAACAAATTCCAAACCCTGTAAGACTTCGAGTACGCGTGCAACTCAACTACGGATTGGACTAAGCTAATAGAAGGGAAGCATACACACTTAGAAAAATTCATGTAAATTTAGGTGCTCTGAGACTGACATATACGAGCGTCAATTATGACATAAAATTGAGTCATAATAGACGCGAAATTCAGCTAAATCAAATGTACTTTTCGTCGAGTAATGAACTTTTCAGTCTCGGAGCACTTAATTTTACATGACATTTTTGTTTACGTCTCATCCATTATGTCAAAGATGGATTCCGTCACGTGTAAAATTAGGTATTTTTAAGTGTGTATGACGAAGGAGCAGGAACTGTAGCCTCAGGTCAACAGATAACCGATTGGATGAATAAATAAACGCGACTGCCACTCGGTTTCTAGAAAAAAATTACCTTCGCTTAGACCAAAGAAAAATAACGAAATTACAGAGTTTCATGCAAATTTGAGAAGGTCGCTTCAGATCGATCCATCATTTGGCATGGAACTGCTCAAAAGTAGAATTTAGCGCTGTCCTAAGTGCTTTTTCGTAGCTTCATGTCTCAGGGTTTCAACAAAGATCGTCGGTCGCAGTGGCTTATATTGAGGTAAGGGGCACCGTTTTCGGGTTTGAATGGTTATAGCATCAACTAGATCATAAGTGGTGTGTTGTGATATGATGGATTTGGCTGACTTAGGCAGCAGTTCTCGCTAACTGAGCAGAAAATCGTGGGAACAATTCCAGGTCCCTGCATACTAAGGACCTTGCTCATCGTGTGTTTTGTCGTCGTCGCCTTTGGTTGCCGGGTTCGAATGGTTACAACAACACCTCGGTCATAAGTGGTGTGATGTGATATGAGGGACTCGGTGGCTTTAGAGCGACCGTTTTTGCTTATTTAGCAGAATTTAATGGGTTTAATCCCAGGCTCCTACACATTTAAAATTTGTTAGTCACCTTCTGCTGCAAACTCAACCCTTTTATCCAACATCCCAGGGATTTGTCGGTTCCTATCAAGGCGAGTATCACGTTAACACATTCCTTGCCCATTCCTTAATTTACCTGCATTCGGATGTTCATGCTCAATTCAAAGCGTTTCCAGCGTGCAATAACATTTTCTGATTTAAAAAAAAGCCCTGCACCATGTTGGGCGATTTCGGGTCTGGAATACAATCCAGTGTATTACAGTCAACTCTCGCTAGCTCGATACTGAAAGGACCATCGCGTTAGAGAGGATATCAGGGGTTATAGAGGGTAATTTTAGAAATTTGTATGGTGAATGAGTTCGAAGCAGTCGAGATCCCCATTTTTTAGGTAATCTGTATCACCTGTATAAGCTTAATAAAATCAAATATGCTGGTCGCAAAATAAAGATCGATAAGTTACATTTCTTCCTATAAATTGCAATCTGAAACCACATCAGTTACAAACAATGAACCTCCAAATCTTACTGGAGTTTACATCAAATGAACTACTAGATAAGTATCAACTGAGTCAATGTTCTTCGAAATGAAACATATCCAAACAATTTCATGGAGTCCAAGCGCATCTTTTATCTTTTAATTCATTATTGAACAATGCACACTGGGCCAGGAATGCAATCTAGCGGAGCAAAACTAATAACTCCGAAACGAAGCATTTCCGCGACTTGGAGTCTTCGGCAAAGTTTCTTATCATAATAAGCATGCTTGGCATACACATTTGTGCACACCAACTGCTCATTTGTTTATAACTTTTTACTCAGTTGTTGAAATTTGTTTTTCTTTAAAGTAATTGATAGATTAGGATCATAGCTTACTATAGATATGCATAAAGTAGATAAATCTTAACATTTGAATCAACACCAATGAATTTTTACTCTTAAGGTCCGAGATGTGCAGCGAGAATTTCTCACTTCATTTTTACAACGCAAAAACAAATACAGTTTATTACTAGAATTAAAATCTAATTTGTTTTATGTATCTTTAACAAGCTTAAACTCAATTCTATCTACTGTTTCAAAAAGAACTATGTTTTGTCAACTCTGTGTAAAATTATTAGCAAATGATCAATTCGTGACCAAAACTGTGTATGCCAAGCATGATAATAAGGACCATCTATTGACTCTTTTGAAGACGTAAAATTTTCACAGCCTACTGAGAGAGTTGTTTATTTTGTCAAGATAAACAACTTTGCTGAAGACATCAAGTCTCCAAAATTAAAAGTTATTAATTTTGCTCCGGTAGATTGCATTTCTGGCCCAGTGTGCAATGTTGTTACTCAGGGCAGGGCATAGAGTGATTCCTGGTTGATCTTGCAGATTGTTCGATCTTAATTTCTAGAAGATTATGAGATTAAAATCTCGAATGATGTGTATGGACTTCATGAAACTTATTGAAATAGCTAGGAACTTCTGTTGCGGTAGCTGTTTGAAGCTGACCTTCACTTACGCTTAATCATTCATGAGAAATATTTAACTGTATTTTGGCGACACCTGCTCATAATTATTTCCATGCAAATCAAATGGAAAGTCACCTCACTTGCCACACAGAATAGACCTCTTTTTTAAAACTTTATTATAGAGATTTTTAGCCGAAGGCTAGTTCATCTCTTATATGAATAGACCTGATTTATGTGCATAAGGAAATTTGTCCTAGCCCTTGTGCCAGACGTGGTTGATTGAGTAGATCGGAAGATTTGAGGAACCTAGAACATCTTGTATACATGAAATAAAATATAATTGATACACATAGACTCTATGAAACTGCTTGAACTAGTTTTACTACTATAGACATTGTCTCAGTCGTGGTTGATCTAGTTGATTGTTTGGTTTGAAATTCAGAACAGTTTAAAAATTAAATTTGAATTTTGCGGATAAACATAATGAATCTACTGAGACAAGTTTCGTTGTTCAGGGCATTGCACCAGTCAGTAGATCATTTGTCAGAACTCTCGGACGATTTGGAGAACATAGAACATCCGATATACATGAAAATGAATCATGGATGGTGCGCATATCCTATATGGCACTGGCCGGCCGGCACTGATATTGCTAAATATTAGATCTCCAGTTTTTGCACATTGAGGATGAATGTTAGTCCCAAACATCATCAGTTAGTTCTCTGTGTAATTGCAGCTGATCTGGAAATAACAGAGCAGCAATCGTGGGTGGTCCATCATGCTCATGCTTACATTTAATGATAGTTGAGGGAAATGAATTTAGGCTTAACGAACATGGCAATGGATGTCTAGTTGCTAAGGGTATCGTCCCTGTCCAGGTGCAGGTTGTCAAACATAAAATTTTCATAAGGTTTTGGATATCTGGGACATCAAGGTTGGCTAGTTTTGTTTTATTTCATATTTTTACTGTATAGTTTACATCCGAAAGTACAACTTTGCCGGAGGCAGTATGGTACTAACTATAACCTGTGATTTTATACAGCCAATCATGAAGAGTGGGCATATATCACGCACCCGTCCCGAAAGGGTTAAAGTAATTGGTTACATTTGGCACATATGTAGACCCTTTTCACATGTTGCTCTAGTTACTAGCTTCCTCCATCATACGTCATAACAAAAACGTGTTGTGGACTGGACTGTGGAGTATGAGTTTATGTGCAATCGTTGGAAAAAGTAATGCTTGATGTTGTGAGTACTTTATAGTCTAATTTTTGACAATATTGAGTAAAAAATTACTCAAATGTTAGTTGTTTTCGATAGCCCTGTTGATATTGAGCGCAGTATACTAGTAATCTTCCGTGTCACTAGTGGTGCTAGCGTCGGGAAAAATCGTGTCTAACGGGACAAAATGATTAACTCCCAAGGGAAGTACTTCCGTGACTTGGTGCAAAATTTCTTTCAATAATTACGACCATCAATTGTCATTAACAGGTGGTTTGATACTCAACCGCATAGATGGCGCCACAATTAAACTTTTTACTTTGACAGAGATGGAGATTCAACGCCTTGGACAACGATTTTAACCTTTACAAAATAAACAACTTTTCTATAATCATCGAAATTCCACAGCATACTGTTTTTCAGTTTTGTTGAAGAAACTGTTTTATCAATCTATTTTGATAATTTCATTAACAACCAGGTATGTTGCTATTTTTTCCTGATGTAAATACAC